CCGAACGGATATATTTGAAAAAGAAATTATACGAAAGTGAAAGAAAAATGAGAGAGGAAAAAAACCACGAACGAATTGTTCGCGATGGAACTTCGATACCTCGAATGAACCCTCTATCTTTCTTTTGCCTAATGAAGGAAATGAAGGGAGAAGAAGGAAAAAGTAGAATACTCCAGAAAGGAAGAAAGAAGGAAAGAGGAAGCTTTTACGTCGAGTCTAACGCGTGCAAATAAAAGCTTTCTCTCACGACGAAAGCAGTAATGAAATCCTCTCTTCCACGAGGGTGTCGATATTGCGGTCGAACAATTTATCGATCGATCGACTCACGCCGATATTATTTCCATGTAAATTAAATCTAGAATGGGCGAACGAAGTGCATGTGATAGAATAGTTTTGTGGTTAGCGAATATTTTCGATACGAGACCCTATTGGTTACACTATACCGTTCTCGAAGTCGAGAGTAAATCGTTTTATCGATCGTATCTTGACGATTGAGAGAAGACAATTTCTATTTTAATTTCTTCATTCTTCCAATTCCTTCCTTCCTACTTTTTTTTTTTTTTTCTAGTTTTTCTCTACTTTAGTGTCAACAAATCCAAAATGGAATTTCCACGATGCTATCGCGTAATTGAACTCCGTCGCATCCGCAAACGTACCGGAACGTGTCACTATCCCCATAAATCAGGACGTAATCGACGTTTTAACCGCAAATACGGATAGCACGAAGCGCACCATAGTGCTACATTTCAGTGAATAATTTCGCCTACCGTATGCTCTCAGTTTGCAAACTTCCAATCTCTGATCTCATCTCTCTTTCTTTTCTAAGCTACCGAACGAAAATCATCGATAGAAAATACAATGGAATAAATTCCAAATGAGTGGATCATTATCCAAATATTTTTGATTTCTTCGGATACATAACATCATAACGATGTTCGGTAATATCGACAATCTCTGTCGAAAAATATTTCAATACCTGTGTACTCGAGATAAAGGTGTTTCGGCCGAGCTAAAATTACGAGTTAGCATTGTGCTTTCAAAATCACAAATAACGAGTAACATAATACGCACAGTCTGGCACAATGGCATGGCTGTTCGTCGTTGATACGAATGAATCAAGAGTCGGGTATAATGCAATTTCCTGAAACAACGACCGTGCCAAACATGCGAAAGAGGAAGAAACAGAAAGAGAGAGAGAGAGAGAGAGAGAGAGAGAAGAGGGGCGGGGAGGGAATCCGGGTAATATTCAGTTCATTACAAATCCGTACAATTTCGGGCCAAGTCTGTAAAGGGGTGCACAGCTGCACATTTTCCTTGCATTGTACAGGTCGATGGTTTCCTCCCGTTTTTTTGCCTTCCTTTTTTGCCTAGTTTCCTGTTCGATGCAATACACGAACATAGCTATCGTTGAAATGAAATTTCAGCAACGGGGCACTTTAAAATCAGATATGTATTTATATGTACTAAATACATAGATTTAGAAATTTTTTAACTTGGAAATATGTTTGTTTATTTAAATATATCATTATTTTCTTTAGACATATCATTCATTGCTGAAAACGAAAAGGTGATACCTATTATATATATACATATATAATAGGTTATTTTAATTAGAAAAATATTATTTACGATTTAAATTTGTTTCTAAGAAGTCTTTACCTTTGAATTACTTACTCGAAACGTCTTATTATTGATACAATTTTGTTGGCTCAAGTTCATTGATCAAACTACAAGTTAACGATCAATTACCAGACATTCAACACCATCTAGCTCTGAAATTCTTAACCAATGTTGGAACCGCTCCCGATAATAGACCATTTTCTCCATGTTACCAACACGTACGCATTATTTATGATGCTTAATAAGCTGATGTATTTGGCATTTTGTACATTTGATAATCAATGTTTATACAACTATTTTAATACAAAAATTTTATCTTAAATATTTAATAAATAACTATATATAATTAACAATGAAATTGGCATTTTTGATAATACTATTTATGTAAAATACATATAAACTGTATGAATTTACAGGTAAAATAATGAAGGCATTGTAAATAGATATGCTATACACATTATTGATACTCCTGACATAAGACTACAATCTTCTGTAATTATCACGTTGTTGCGATTGAGATCCTGCTATTAAAGTTGAATAAATAAATGGTAAAATCGAAGCTAAAGCTAAGCAAAGGCCAATTACCGGCCGATACCACACCCATGCAAAACCAATTACTAATAAACTAATGGACATGGAAACGGACATTGTTAATGACTCAATTGCTATTATTCCACATAAGAATGTTGAGTTAAGTATCACGGTCCTCAATATATTTGCCAAACAAGTTGCTGCTAAAAATAGGACTAACCAGCCTAGTCCTCTGAAAATAGTTATGCATTTTCTTTGAAAAAATGGTTTTTAATAAATAATTTCATAAAAAGATGAATGAGCATGATACGCATATAAAGTATGAAAATATTTCAAGGGAATAATAATTGTAAAAGATTACCTGATACTCCAAGTTCTCCAGTAATTGTGCACATGTTCTAAGTGAAACATTTGATCTACTGTCATTTTGTGTTTCCTTTGAAGTAAAATATCTTCCCCGTGTGATGTGGTATAAGGAACAATAATTCCTTTTTCCATCATGCCAACGATAGAGTAAATATCACCTTGTTTACCTGCATAAGAAAATTGTATTCTAATGTCTCCCACCTATATGAAAAAAGAAAAATAGGCATAAGAAAAATAGGCATATAAATATTATATAGACATAAATATTATATAGACATAAGCAATATTAAAAAGATACCTGGGGATTCCACAAATCAGCGCTATGATAATACAGGCCAGAATGCATTTTGATATCTTTACGTTCTGGCCTCTCGTCGCTGGTAATCTCAACAAATTCATTAAATTTCTTCTTTAATTCTGATCCAAGAATAAAGGCTCCAATTTTAACTTCATTAGCAATCTGTATTTGACTTTTGATTGGCATTTCTTTTGGATTATGGTGTCCAGTTCTGATATAAAAATGATCAGAATCTACAAGCTTATCCTTCCATTCTGTCGTATAATAATAATGTTTCTCTTCTTCCGTTACACCACCAAAACTAAAATAATATTTCAAAGGTTATATAAAGAGTATTTGACAAATTATATTTAACAATCGAATATGATACCTTCTTTCTTCTTCGATTTCGACCCATTGATACATCTGTACTCTTCTTTTTAATTTAACACTTGACACAATAATACCATAATCAGGTTCAGTCAATGGCTCTGATATGGATAATGATCCTGAAATATGTATTAAACGACCTTCAAACTCGGGTAATAATTTAAATGGATTTGAAAGCACTGCTACATTCCGTAAGGCTTCGTCTAAAGAGTATGCTACTTTTACAGCCCTTCCCTGGAAACCATGAAAATTTATTCATTGTACAAAAAACCTTATAAAAAGCATAATAATATATGAATTACATACTTCGTTCCAAAACAACAGGCACATGCCAGTCGCAAACAAAATAGATCCAATAATAGCAGTTAACCATGATTCTCTAAACTGTTCTGAAACTGACATTGGAACATTTATGGGTGAAGGCTGTCTTCCATTAATTCGATTTTGATGTATTGGTTCAACATTTGCTCTTTGCTGCTGTCCATTTTGCTACAAAACATTTAAATATTAACATCAATTTTTCAGTAAAAAATATAACTTTAATCAGTCATGATAAAAATACGATTCAAAAAATATACAATGAGATTTAATATTTTATATAAATACATTGAACTATTATATGTACGTAAATATGAATAATTAAGTAACAAGAATGTTTTAATAGATCCTTTTAATATTTACATTTGCACGATACATTTCCAAAATTCATAAAACATGATAAACATTCAATGCAAGTTTAAAGGATATTAAAGTCAAAAATTATATATTATATCACTGCGGGGTATAACATATACACATATATATATATATATATATATATTTATGCATGTGCATGTGTGTGTAATGATATATATATATATATATCACTACAAGATCGAATATGAAATGTTAAAAATTTTGAGTTTTATTTTGTCAAGTTCTTGTGTATTACCCAATAGCATCCAATCATATGTTTGAATCTCAGAGAAAGAAAAGCAAATTATCCTATTGGTTGTCATCGTAATTATGCTGCAGCATATTTATTTAAATAATTTATTTAAATAATATAAAAAATTATTAAATATTCTTTATTCTTTCCTTTTATTCTCAAAAAAATGTACTTCTTGAAAATCTTATAAAAATTGTGTAACATAAAAAAATATCAGCAAGAATTTATTAGCAAATTGTGTAGTATGCTAAAGATACGCCAGATGGTGTAGAAGGCGATAGTAAATATGAGTTTACTTTATTGTTTATTGCATACAATCAAAGGACAAAACAAAGTTATGTTATCGTTTATCTGAAATGGATCAGACCTCATCCTGCATGAGGTATGTGTGGATGTATTTTGACTTGATCAATCGTTGGTCCGTAAATTCGTAAGTTTGTGCGTTAATTATGCTTGAGACGCAAATGTGATATAAAATAAAATATTTTTATACAAGATAATCGAATTTTTAACAAAACAACTCCGTTGTCATATATTTTAAATGTATAATATCGTTTGTTATATCGAAAATGTATTACGAAGAAACACAATATTAACAATGTTTCCTAACATGCAAATAGAAATATTTTATATTTAATCAACAAATGATAACTTTATAATTTAATCATTAGTAATTAATATATAATTCATATTAAATCGTTTTTTCGTTCAATTTATCAAGTGTTATCTATGTTGACCTTTTTGATGAAACTTTAGAGGTTTTGTGATAATCTATAAATTCTTGTTTAGTTAAAAAATCTGTTTAATAATTTTTGTGCACTATGTTTTATTATATTATTGATATAGATATTTGATTGCTTTAAATATAGAAAAATAATATATTTCTAGGTTTAATACAAATAAATAAAACACTTTCTAACGAGTACAAAAAATAAAATATATTTTTCAAAATGTATTGGTTAAAAATATCTTTTATCCTATGTATGTTTGGATTGCTAAAAGACTTCAGGCCATCTGAGTCATTTGTAACTGATTATTTAACAGGACCATGGAAGAATTTTACACATGCACAAGTTTGTGAAACCTTTAAAATCTATTAGTTAATAATTGGGCTTAAATAGTTTTAATTATATGTATATTAATTTTCAGGTCAATCAAGAAATTTATCCAGTTAGCACGTACAGTTATTTTTTAACTCTAGTTATTATATTTTTGATAACAGATTTTGTAAGATATAAGCCTATTATTATATTGTGTTCACTTTCTGGAATGATTGCATTTCTTGTATTGATACTTGCAAAAACTGTGCCAGTAGTTCAGATCACTGAATTCTTTTATGGCCTGTTTCTTTCTTCCGAAGTGGCATATTATACATACATATATGCAAAAGTTGATAAGAAACACTATCAAGAAGTGACAGGTCATACAAAAGCGGCTTCGCTTGTTGGACGATGTATGGCTGGAATTATAGCACAATTAACAGCTTCTTTTCATATATTAGATTTCCATGAGTTGAATTATCTTACCATTGCAGGTACCTTTTGCAATTAAGAATTCAAATGTAGTATGAAAAATTTTATCAGAAATCGAGAAATTGATACCATCAAATATATTTTTAATCATCCCAATATATCTTGATAATGTTGATATGATAAGATTATTGACTGATAAAATTAATTCTCTCTTCTATATATAAATCGATCATAATATTGTTGATCGGCGAAAAAGATATTTTTTGTTTCAGCGTTTGGTCTCGCCACGATATGGACATTTTTTTTACCATCCGTCGGTCAATCGATTTATTTTCATTCACCTATTTACGATCAAAATATTACAACCGCACCAGCGGATACTTTGAAATCGTCGGAAAGTGATAGTTGCTATGAATTCAATCGTGATAAACAATCGAGATATAATCCTGCGAAGAGAAATGTTACCTCAATGTCTTCTAAGTTGAAACATGCCTACGCGTTATTATGGCAACATTTTTTAAACGCTTATACGCATCATCACATTGTAAAATGGTCCATGTGGTGGGCATTTTCAACTTGCGGCTATTTGCAAATAACTAATTACGCCCAACTTTTATGGCAAACGGCTGTTGAATCATATGACGATATCTATAATGGAGCGGTAGATGCTTGTTATGCAATAATAGGTAAATACATAAAAAATTTTTCAAGATCTACAAAAGACTAAATAAATAAGATGATACGCGATATAAGCAATATATTGTTATTGTGTATATGATTTAAAGAATTTTTAAAGCAATAACATTTCCAATTAGGTGCTTCCACCGTTTTTGTCATTTCAAAAATACCATTCAACTGGCCAGTGATAGGAGATGTAACATTAACATTATTTGCCCTTATAGAGGGTGGCTTAATTATATTGTGTTCTTATAATTATAATATTTGGGTATTATATACTGCTTACATAATATTTGGAGTGGTTTATCACACTATGGTCACTGTTGCAAGGTAATTCTTATTTAAATAGAATTACTTAATTCATAATAGTAGAAATACTTAATTCATATGTTTTGTACCTTATTATTTTATAGCTTCGAAGTTGCAAAAAATATATCTGAAGATAGCTATGGTTTAATATTTGGGACAAATATCTTTTTAGCACTATTGTTCCAAAGTTTGTTAACATTAGTAGTTATTAATGGAAATCTTGGAGACACTATTAGATCTCAGGTAAAAAGAATATATATATGATCAAAATGTGTGTGTGTGTGTGCGTGAATAAAAATCTGAGAGATTAATCTGTTTTCATACGATACATCAAATTACAATTTTATCGTACGATAATTAATTTTTTGTTTTAGTTTTTTATTTATGGCTGCTATTATATAATTTTGGCTGTGATATTTTTAATAATAGCTATATTTACGATTATAAAACGTTATAAAAATGGTGATAAATTTGAAATATGGTTAAAAAATAAAAACATTCGAAAGTCAATAGATAACATCGATAATAATGAATCGTTTAATACAAATTCGACGGTATCTAAAAATGATATCTTAACTGTTCAATCGGAAGATAAGTATTGCGTAAATTAATAATTATAAAAAAATGTATAATATCCTCCTTGTATTATTCTTGTACGTATTATATTTTCTAAGAATGAACTATTTATTAGCTTTAGTTAGAAAGACTTTGTTATAATAACGTATAATAGAATAATATCCCTTTTTTATGGTTTTTACTATTAAAAAAAAGAAAGAAAGAAAGAAAGAAAAAAAAAGAAACCCTTAACGTTGTCTTAAAACTTGTAGTATGGAATACGAAAAGAACAGTATTTGTATTTGTGAGATAATAAAAAAATAAACATCCATAGAAAAATTGACATTTACGTCAAAAAATATTACTTTTTAATAAATTGTATTATTAACAAATGTTTATTTTAGACGAAAATTCATTTTATTATTCTCGCGACGTGAAAAGAATAAAAATTAATTGTGCATTTTTAAATAATTTGACGATATTATTTATTGCGGCAAATACCCAAACGTCAATGTTTGCGGTTTTTACAAAAGTGTAAATAAAAGTAAGAAGAAAAAAGATAGTATCGCCGATATATCCTCATTACTTAATTCCAATAATTATTTCATGAGCAATGTTTCTTTGAATTAAAATTAAATATGCTCGAACGATCAAATTGAAAAAGAAGATAAACGAATTGAACGTGTATAAATTTCTTTCTATATACATTGTATTATAACTAAAATAAAACAAACGTATCAAATCTCTTGAGCATTTCGTCGATATTAACGAGATAATATTTTTTTGTACTTGAACGCATCACAAAATAAAGGCAATATATATATGTTTTATTGGAAATTATCGATAGAAACGTAGTCTTAATCATCGAATCTTGTGGGATTTTCCTTCGGATTGCAGTGCAATTATATAGAGTCAATTAAAATACGTAGACGATCAGAAACGTGCGTATAAACATCTTCGATGAAAACCGAGGGGAGGTCAAAGAGACAGATAGTAAGTACGATTTGTTTATGAGGGGCATCGAGCGTATAAAACAACTAACGGCGTTGACTAATGCCGCAGTTAGTAATATTAACGCGAGTGCAAACATATTACGTTTTTCGTCCATCGTCATAACTCGTGTGTTTAGAAAAAAGCAACTTATCTAAAAAGGAATCTCTATCTGTAAAGCAAGAGAGTAATCATGGTGCAATTTCGGGTAAGAGAATTATTTCTTAACACCGATAAGAATATGATAATTGTGTTGTGTCGAAGATCTTCTTTATATTAAAATGAATCTACGTAAATATATATTTATACACGTATTCTCTGATGCGTTATCAAAAAATACAATCGCTGTTCAAGTTGCGACGAGCATCAATTTTCGAATCGATAATAACAATCGAACCTGTTCTTTAATCGTGTCCTCGTTGATTCCATCGCCTCGTCGTCATTCAAACGAAATAACTCGCATTAAAACTTCGCCATCGATATAATTTTACGCTTCACAATTATTACGCGAGTTGAACATTGAAAGATCGTATTGTTAGCATTTATTCTTATGTAACACCGAGAGAACGCATATCGAGATATAGAATAAAAATGAAAACGTTCCTATGAGTAAGCTATATTCTAAATGGATATATAAACTGAGAATATATAAGAGACATTTAAAAAAAAAGGCGGTTTTATCGTTTCGATGAAAGAAGATTTATTGATCGTAAATTTGAAGGTAATGGCGAAAAGGGAAAGTCCCAGCTCGGCATTGTTCGACAAACAAAACGATTCGATTAATGATATAATCGGTATTTCCTAATTCGTCGTTGGTTCAACTATATACTATCGATTCGAGAAGTTCGATTCGCAAAAAATGGATCCAAAAAGATAATATAAAATCTTTACGTACGAAAACAATCGTTAACAATTCGAATCAATCGATCCCCGATCATTGATCAGATTTTCAATCATTTTTATTGTCTCGAATTTAATCCCTCGGAGATCTCGAGTCGAGACTTTATTGATCGTTTATTTGCAAGAAAATGAAACGCTTTTAAAAGGGTCGCCGAGTTTCGCGCTTTCTCTGCTTAAGGCCAGTCTCGTAAAAGTGTACGCTCCTCGATTGAGAAAGAAAGAAGAATGATATGAGTCTGGCAAAAGGAAGATATGCGTATTTATATGTACGAAGAAAAAGTAAACTGATACTGAAGATAATCGAACGTCTAAGGTCAGAACAATCGCACATTGTAACACAAGTTCGTTCGTTCCAATGAAGAAATCAATACGTCAATATTGCTCGTTATCTGTAGACCGATAACAAAAAACAAACTAATAAAATGATCGATTTATCGCGCGGAAAAAGTCGATCATACAATACAAATATCGTTCGTTCTTCTGAAGGAATTCCCTAACGAGAAAATTATTATGATGCCGGGCATTTCCAACGTTCAGGAAGCACGTAAGTACGTTGAAGATCGCATAGTAGGTTGAAGAAAAGAAGTGGGATATAAAAAGAGAGAAAGACGAGTCGTTCGAAAGGATATAGTCGATGGAAGTATGACGAACGTCGACGCCTCGACTTCTTGGTGGGGTTTATAGAAAACTCTACCATCTCTCCGTATGCCCGGAATCGTCATTGTACTCTCAGTTCCGTTTAAAACAGTAGAGAGAACGGTACATCATACTCTTTTGTCGTTTTTAGAACAAAATCTTCAAATAATCTTTCTTCGCGTGATAACGTGATAAAGAAGTAAAACGAGCAATGTCCTTCGAATCGGTAAGTCGAGCTTGAAATTGAATTTCGTCCAAATTCTCTCTTACATTGTATACTCGATATTGCTTTTTAATATGCAAACCAAGTTTCCATTATTAAACAAAATTAAACGAATGAAAGAAGCGTAGCTAACCTCACAAAATTTTTCATGTTTATAAACATGGACGTGCCAGACCATTTGTACCATCATCAAATATTATAATGAATTCACAAACACGTGGTTTACTTTCAAAAACGAAGCAAAAGAAATGATTCATCAAACGACCATGATCATTTTCAAGGCTCAAAAAATATATCACTCGAATATTCGATGTAACATCAAATGATTTTTCAGCTTTGTATCTACATGGTCGTTTATTACTGATAAGATTTATAATATTACATGCTCTTTGAACGAAGATTATTCGCTCAGACGAGCATACTCGTAACATAATACTTTATTTGTATGATATGATACGATACTTTAGTACCGAAACGTTTTACCGTATCGCCTAACCTCCAACGATAAGAAAGCCGCACCTTGATACAAACCACCGCACTTCCTGCAATTATCCACTTTGTTACACAAATTCCTTTACGAAGGTGTTTCTAAATGATGTTCTTTTTTTTCCATTTCTCTACGAAAGTAGAGTGCGCTTGTACGCAATAAGAAAGGCGGATACAGAAACGTAACGACCATTCATAAAGTATTTCCATTCGTTACGTTATTATAACTCTGACATTGAAAACGACACAACGTCTTTAACGAAGTTGTCATAGCAGTTCGACGATATGGCTTAATCACTTGAATTAAAATAGAGTATTAAAACAGAGTTGAGAGAGAGAGAGAAAGAGAGAGAGAGCTTTTTTCTATTTCTCATGTTGATTCTTTTACTTTACGTACTAGCTTGTAACTCGTTAAATATGTTCGTGCGTGATTCATGTACGAATGAGACACGTATCATCGAGTAAAGAATTCATATGTCTCGCAATGGACTAAGGACAAGGAACTGTCCTTGAAAAAGGAAAAAAAAATGAAACATTAAATTCTTTAATTCGATTCGTTAAGGCGATGACGTTAGAAAAATTTCAGCAATTGGGTCAGTAATTAATCTAAACAATACCAGGAAGATCTCTCTTTCTCGCGTGTTTCTTACGAGAAATAATATAGCTGAAAGAAGAATAAGTATGTGGTTATATTTTCATTTTCGAAAGAAAACGTAGGCGTTCGTTTCGTCACTCGTGTCTCGTCATACATAAGTACATACGTTCATTTCAAGCAAGAAAGTTGGATTCTATGATGTCATGGTTTGCTCGCAACTTTCACTCGTACCAACGACGAGCCTTATTTTACGTCTCTTTGAAATCCTCTCTTTGATATAAGAAAAACGTATTAATACAAATGATTTTTGATAAGAGACGATTCAAAGAAAGAAATTGATACATTAAGCAGACTCGTGTGAGATAAATCTTGCTTTTACTGATACTATATCTATGTGCACAAAATATGAAGAAATAACAAAAGACATTTAGGATCGTACGATTCCAAGATCCTTTTCTTCATTTCCTCTTTCATTTCTTTCTATTTACATGAATCTTATCGCTTTCTCCAGTCGAGAAATTTTTGAAGAAAACGGTTTACATAGAAACGAGTTGGCTCTACTTTCTAGGTAGGCTCTCCCATAGATATCCTTTTAATTCCACGCGTTGAAATCTTCGTGTAACGAGATAAGAGGAACATTTCAATAAAGATTAAAACATTTCATTTAATTATTTGCTCGGTATGTATACATTATTATTTCTTTGAAAAGATTAAACGTCAGCTGCTCATCATGCGCGGACACGATTTCGTAATGCTTCGGAAAACACGCGACATTGCGCGTGCAAACCTTTCGGGATTGTATCCTTGACTGCTGGCGTTTGTGAAATTCTTATGGCGAATCGAATAAATGCGTTATATCATGTAATCAATTCGTCCTAAGAACGATATCGCTTGCTATTAAAACTAATCTGTATTTTCTATTTATTTATTTATTTATTTATTTATTTTTCTTTTTCTTTTTCTTTTTTTTCAGGCGATGCCATTATTATTTTTGTTAACATTGATCGGTGGGATCATGGCGCAATGTTTGACGGGAGATGACAATCCCATTATGATGAATCCACGTTCGAAAACGATGCTCGACGAAGGTCGTTACGAATTTGCTATAGATGCTTTAAAGAAGGCCGCTGAAATACAAACTAGCGACAATATATTCTTCAGCCCGGATAGCATTCACAGCGCCTTGACTTTAGCGTATTTCGGTGCCCGTGGCAACACGGAGACGTCCTTGAAAAAAGCTTTGCATATTCCAGACGATTTATCGAAGATCGACGTGATGAGATACTACGCTTTCGAGAAATCTATTAAACAAAAAAAAGAGGTAAGAGTGATTCGTTTCAAGGTGAGCCGCGTGAAACAAAACCGAAACGCTCTCGACGGTAATGATATTTTCATTCTACCTCTTTTCAGAATAATGGGTCAGCCAATTACGAGTACAAGTCCGCCAACCGGCTTTGGGTAACGGATGCGAGAAAGTTGCGTGATTGCATGCTCGATTTGTTCAGTGATCAGTTGGTCAAGATTGACTTTAAAAGCAATCCATTGGCCGTACGAAATATTATAAATGATTGGGTCAGCAACACCACGAGGGGTCATATTCGTGATTTATTGCCAAAAAGTAGTATCACAGAAGAAACGGATCTCGTCTTGGCTAATGCCGTTTACTTCAAGGGTCTCTGGCAAAGTCGTTTCGATCCAGCAAATTCGAAAAGAGATATCTTTTACGCGCCTGGCTCCCAAAATTCCGTAATCACGTTCATGCGCCAAAAAAAGACATTCAATCACGGTTAGCGAAATATATCTGAAATTTATATTCGTATATTATAGATATTATACAAATATTTTAATATACACTGATGAAGAAGTTGTTAAACTTAAATTTTCTTCGTTTGTTCGATAGTCGTCTCGGAGGAATTGGGTGCGCACATTCTTGAACTTCCATATAAAGGTCAAGAAATCTCTATGTTCATCCTGTTACCGCCTTTCGCAGCAGCCAGATTTTTGAACGACGGAGCGAATCGAAACCAAGGAGACGGAGGTATCAAGAACGTTCTTCAACACATCTCTACTGAGGCTGGTGCGACGGAATTAAGAATACTTCTTGACGATGGAATGCCATCGAGACAGGTCGAAGTCTCTTTACCGCGATTCGAATTGGAAAGAGAGTTACCTTTGGTACCGCTTCTTCATTCTCTCGGTGCTGGTGACTTAGTCATACCTAATGTGGCTGATTTGCGAGATTTCTTAGCCGACGGTGAGAAACCACTTCATTTGGGAGACGCTGTTCATAGGGCTAAAATCGAGGTCACCGAAGAGGGTACGACAGCAGCAGCAGCCACGGCACTCTTTAGTTTCCGTTCGAGCAGACCGTCCGAACCGGCTGTCTTTAATGCTAATCATCCCTTTATATATTTCATCTATGACAAACCAACGCACAGTATATTATTCTGCGGTATTTATCGTACACCCGGCGCACCGGCTTCGTCGATACCTGCTTAATGATCTTGCCTAGGAGATAAACATCCTTCTAAAGTACGTGATTCCTCATACTTCGTACTAAATAATCGGAGCGATTGCGCGGTTGGCATTAGTCGTCCGTCCTCGTAAATCAGCTGTGTTTACTTTTTAGAACGATCGCTAGCAGGGGATTAATACGAAAGCCGATAAAAGAGTAAATGGATTAATGAATGGACGAATGAATGATAATGCCTCGAATACTTGAGAGTGCCTGTTTGAATCTATGAATGGATACGTGATATTAAAAATTTCATAATGTTTAATAAGTTTTGCTTTCGACCAAAGGTAAGCACAAAAATGAACAAATTACAGATTCAATTTATTACATAGCTATATATTTAATTTGTCTTTTATGATAAAATATGACAATTGGTTAAGGAAGAATCCATGACTAAAATATTTACAAAAAGTCACTTTGTAAAATTATATCTAGGTAGAAAGAGATGTATTCATTGTTTTCATTGGATATATTTCTATTTTTTATAACTTATAGAGATTACGGATTTTGTTAGCACATCATGTTTAGTCGGGCAATTGATTAAAATATGAATGTGTACCTGTAACAATCCCACTGATTGATTTCTATTAACGATATTCTGAACAATCAAACAATACATACATGTAATTTGTGTATATCTCTTTGCGATGAGAGAAACTATATTTATTTTGTTTATAATATCTATAATTCTTATAACTATTCTATACTTTTTATTGTTGCCTTTAATTATGAGATTCTTTTTTATACCCGATATCTTCAATAATCTTTGGCACTGGTAATGATTGATTATAAGTGTAAAAAAAACCATATAAATAAAAGGTAAGATAATATTTCTATTTTACATTTCAATGAGATTTATTTGATTTATTATATCCACGAGAAATTACAATTTTCTTTTGTTATCGAATCTTACATTAAATTCCTTTAAGATATGTCTTTCATATTTTTGTTATTTTATTATATAAGTCATTTTATTATCTTTCCATTGTTAAATTTATTTAAAGGAGAAATTTTTTAATTATTTCAATTTTTGAGCGTTAGTACAACAACTTTAAATACGAAGGAGAAACGCGCGCTTTTCATATTTTATGTTGGTACGAGCCTAACATGTAATAGATTCGATCAGAACAGCTAGGTAGGCTTAGGCTTGATAATAACTAACTCATTGCTTACCAGGAAAACTATTTTATTTGCTGCCATCTAGCGAAGAAATTTTAATGAGTATACGCACAGACACAATTAAATTTTGTAAGTATGTGCAAATCACGCTAACACCACTTTAGTCGGCTTTGTAACAATTGCCTTTAGTATTGTAGTTTTGCTACGAGCCTGTAATAAAACAAATTTATATGAAATATATAATTTGGATGTAAATATACATGTAATAAATAGTGAAAATATTTATTTACATTGTACAAATTACATTTACAAAAAGTTATTTGTAATGTTCTTATTTATAAAATTAATGATAAAGTAGTCTTAATGGAATTGTATCATAATTTTGATCTTACGATATATATGCAATATATTTGATGCTACAATATATATTAGCATATTTTTATTGGTTAGTAATATTATGTTTATTAATGTGACTATTAGTTTTAATTGTGCTTCTAAGTAAAATGCAATATTTTTAGATAAATTTAAGGTTAAGACATTAGTTTGTAATGTTACTTTTCAACTTTGTACATCCATAATAATGATATTTTTATGATTAATTTTCAGTTGTATTTCTTGAAATGATTTTTAATATATATTGTCGCATACGTAAATTTAATGTGAAATGAACTATTGACGAATCTTGGAATCTTAATATATTACAAGTATGTTTTCGATGGATCAATCTAAACCTCCAAACAATCTTCCAATCCAGGAAGATAATAAAAGGGTTTTTATAAATGATCCAGACTGGGACACAATAGCTGTATATTTAATAGGAAATCAACAAAGATTTAGAGAGAATATTATTATACCAAGAATGATAGGACCTGTACAAATTAAGACTAATGAAGAAAAAATGGTGGAAAGAGCAATGGAAAGTTGTGCCTTTAAGAGTATTATGAGCTGTGTACTTGGTATTTAACATATTTCTCTCTCTCTCTCTCTCTCTCTCTATTTTTTTTTTTATTTATAACTTAAATCTCAAACAAAAAATATTATATAGTAGTATAATGTTTGTAGGATATGGATTGGGAGCTGCAATAGGTTTATTTTCATCAAGTGTAAATCCAAATATCACAAGTGTAGAAAAACAGCAAACTGCACGCGAAATATTTAGGGAAATGAAAGTGACGACACTCAGTTATGCTAAAAATTTTGCTGCTGTGGGTTGTGTATTTTCAGCCGTTGAATGTACTATAGAATCTGTAAGTTCTATCAAATCAATTTTATTTGTTTGAAAAAAATTTATTGAAGCTTCATTTTAACTTTAGTACAGAGGTAAAACCGATTGGAAAAATGGTACTTATGCAGGTGGTGTGACAGGTGGCTTAATAGGCCTAAGAGGTATTGACTATTCTTTTTCAACATCTCAAATAATATGATGATAGATGTGTTTAACTTATGTCCATTTTTAGCTGGCATAAAAGCAGGATTGATAGGTGCTGCAGGATTTGCAGCATTTTCAACAGCAATAGATTATTACATGCACAGATCATAAATAACATTCAATAGAATTACAAATCATGTATTTCTATAGAAAAGATATAAAAGCCTGCGTATATTGAGCATATTTATAATACATACAAAAGCATTAAACATGTTTATATTGTATAAATAGATATAAATGCTTAGAAATAAGTACAATGGTCAAGGTATAAAATATGTGAGAAATTGATATCTGTTCGTCTTAAATTACCTAAAACTTGTCTGTACTCCCACTTATTGACTGAACAATTCTTTTTTTTTTCTTTTTTGTATTTATTTTATATACCTCAAAATACTATTAAATTGTATTACAAAAATACTAAGCTATATTTTAATATTCTGGTAAATAAGAATAAAGTAAATTAAATGCAGTTTTGGAACAGTTCTTAATACTTTTCACATAATACCTTTGGAAGATAAATATGTGCAAAATTTCATCATCTATCTTTTATAATTTATCACATTAAAAAACAATGTTTTGTATAAGTTACAATATCTCTTTGTTGTTAAAAGAAGATGCAGTCTTATATTTTTTTTTCTTTTTTTTTTTTTTTTTTTTTTTTTTTTTTTTTTTTTTAAACATCCTGGATGATCACACGTTAGATACATGATATTACATGTTCTATATGAATTAGATATGTCAGAAAAGTATACATAATACAAATACAAAAAGTATTTGCATATTCGAAGACATGTTTCTCATTGTACAAATGAGTATAATCTTACTCATATACAATGATCTCTCATTAAAAATGTTTATATCATATTTAAAGTCTTAAAATTATATGTTAGTATAATGTATATTATATATAACATTGACACGAATTCTATTTTTTAAATTAAACATGAGATTCTCTTCTCTGTACCTAAACAAATATATTGGTTTGGAATTTTTTGGTTTTAGTTCTATAATATGGAATACTTAGATATCCGTCTCCTCCGAGTTATTTCATAGTAATTTCTTAAATGATAAATTGAGACAAAATGTTTGTAGTCATTATGTACATTACTCGTACACTTTTGTTAAGAGGTCTATTTCTGATATTTCTTGTAAATTCAAATATTATTTCATGAATATATTAAATCGGAGCTTTTTGAAACAAAACAAAGAATTACAAGGCACTTATGACAACTGTCGCTTCCTTCTCATTTACTTTTACTTGCAGTGGCATTGGTATCAAAGATATAATTACTTTGCACTATGTATCAATAATTGTCCTATGTATCTTACGTATTAAATCTTGTTAATTCAAAAAAATATTAGACTACTGAATATTATATATAAATTCATTTGTATGCAAGCAGTATTTAAAAAAGAACTATGCATTAAAGAATTTTCTTATATAATGCACATATCAGCTAAATAGAAGCTTGTAAAAATTAAACTGTCTCTTAAAGTTAAGTTTTTGTATGTCACATATATTTTATAAACTTTTTTGGCACCTATAGAGCCGAAGCTCTTCCTTCATTTTGTCCAACATTTATTTGATTAAGGCTGCTGTTGTTGCATTTGTGCTTGCATTACAGCCAATAATTCTTGCATACGACGTAACTCTGCCTCTTTTTCTTGTAAAATACGATCTTTCTCTGTTACGGAAGTAGCTTTTTCAGATTCCACAATTCTATTTGGGGAAAAAAAAAGAAAGAAAGAAAAAACATTATTATTATTATTATTATTATTATTATTATTATTATTACTATTATTATTATTATTATTATTATTATTATTATTATTATTAATTACTACAGTTCAAATATTTAAAAATATACTTACGTTTGCCGTCGTGGTGGAACCGGGGCTCCTTTAGCTAATCTTTCACTACGATAATTTTCATAATGTACCTCCTGTGTTACTTCTTGTAAATCTTGCATGTGTGTTCTAAAATAGTACATACAATCGTTTTTAATTCTTCTGAAATACAATGGTATAGCTTGTTTATTAGAACTTTTAACTTACATGAGCATCGTTCTCAATTTAATAAAATCACAATGATCTGGATTTTCTACTTCAACAACACCCCACGGATAGAGTCGCCCTCTTACTCTTTTTCCTTTGACTTCAAGTAAAGTATTTGCGCCACATACTGCAAATGGAACAGCTTCTTTCAACTGTCTTACTTGTTCTTTATAATCTTCATCTTCATCGCTATCACAATCCGGTAGTGGATAGATCTTAATGCCACTACCTTCAATTTCTTCCATTACACGTTTCTTTAAACGGAGCACTTCTCTTTTAGTAAGTACATCTGCTTTTGCAATTACTGGCACAATATTAACTTTATTATGTAACTGTTTCATAAATTCTATATCCAAAGGTTTTAATCTATCAACAAAAGAAATAAATTATATTTATTAACATAAGAAAATCCATTTAATAATATTTAAATATATAAATTAAATCCTTACCCATGACCAAATGGAGAAATAAAGTAAAAACAACAATGTATTCTATTATCAACTATATTTCTTCTATTTAATCCACTTTCATCACGCAAAAATCTTTCAAATTGATCATCTATATATTGAATGATTGCTCTGAAACTATCTGTATTATCAATAGCATCTCCATAACCAGGTGTATCAACAACCGTAAGTCTTAGTTTAACGCCTCTTTCTTCAATTTCTACCGTGGATGCATCAAGTTTCACAGTTTGATTAGTTTTCTCTGTATAAATAGAAAGAAATACTTATTAAATATTATAAAAAAAGAAAATAATAATAATTTCATATTAAGAGATTAATGATGCTTACCAACAGCATCAGGAATTATTCTCTCTGGATATAAATCGGTTAAAAATAAACTATTAACTAGTGTAGATTTTCCAAGGCCAGACTCTCCAACGACCATGAGTGTAAATTCAAAACCTTTCTTCACCGACTTTCGATGCACTTGATTAGGTAAATTTGCAAAACCTACGTAGCCTGGGGCTTCAGGACTAGTAAACTGTTTAAAGCATATTTCAATTAGAATACATTGTAAAGTAAAAAAATAATTAAAAGGAAGGTGATCATACGGAATTATATAAAAATTTTACTACTCTCAAAAAAATGTATAAATCTTTTCAAAGTTTTATATATAATAATACATTATTAATAAACGTGTTACTTCAAAAAATAACGCATTTTATTGTTTTATAGATTACTATAAAATTTTATATATTAAAATGTATGTTCAGTATAGGTTGCAAATACGTCCCCATGAATATACTTACAGTTTTAACATTCTCCCTTTCGCTAGACATCCTTCCGTATTATTGAGTGAATTTTTTATTTGAAAGGAATTAAATTGCTTGCAGGCAAATGCCTTATAAACAATTTTCGGATTATCTATTTATGAACTAATGACAGAACAAGACGGAACAAGATCGAAATGTCTACTAGCAGTATTACCAACAGACGACGAGACGTTTTAATCGAACATTTTTTATAATCAGAGAAATAATTATTTTAATATTTATTTAAATATAATGCAAAATGTATGATATTAGTAAATTATATTGCCTTAACGTATGTATTCAACGATCTATTTTCAATTGGTTTTGACATTGTAAATATTAATGAATTTTGTTACGATTAGATGATGTAGGTACGGTGCAATGTCCGAAGTGAATCAAACTATTTTTAGAACATAATAATGTGAAGAATTTTACTTATCTTAGTAATATTATCTAAATATAGGATCAAAATGAAATAAAAAAAATATTACAATGAAAGGTTCGAACATAATCAGTTGTATGTAGATAGACGGTCATTTAGTTCATTATACTCGTCTCTTTTTTTTGATCTATTCATAATACATAGTTTTCTATTTAATAGTTTGCATATGATGATGCGAATGAATTATAAAACGATTTTATTTACATTGATTGTTGCTGTAATAAGTTCTCTATTAACATCATGGAACAATTGTGGATATCCCTTTTTCTTAAGACCACCAGATTGGAAATATCAATTTCAACATAAGGTTAGTAAATCTTTTCTTTTAAATTGATTTTAACCAACGATATATTTATGATTAAAAATTTAAAGCCATATGATTGTGGCTACAATGATTTATTAATGAAATTATTTTTAAGGAAAAAGTGAATAATGAACCTGGATATCAAGAAATAGATTGCTCTATAAATGGTGATTATTCAATCGGGTGTCGCAAAGAAGGAGATGAAGTATACATACCATTTTCATTCATTCATAAATATTTTGAAGTAAGTATCACTCAGGATATAATGCATATATGGTTTGGCCTTTTAAAAATTTATGTGATATAATACGAACAGATTTATGGTAAATTGGCAACATACGATGGATTAGAAAGATTTGAGTGGTTACATAGTTACTCAAAAATTGTAACTCCCAAGGGTAAATATGATCCTCGAGGAGTATTCATGACATTTGAAAATTATAATGTTGAAGTTAGAGAAAGAGTAAAGTGTGTTAGCGGGAGCGATGGTGTACCAATATCCACGCAATGGGAAAGTCAGGGATATTATTACCCAACTCAAATTGCCCAATTTGGACTGTCTCATTATAGCAAAAATTTAACAGAACCTGAACCTTATAGGAAATTAATAGAGGATTCTGATAAGATAAAACAAGAATGGTCTGTTCCTCAGGGATCTGTTATTTCTCGAATATATGACAAACAAGTTAATAGCTATGTTATGAAATTTGCAACACCTGAAACTAGTACTTCTGGAATAAGTTTAAAACTGGATCATGTATTAGATTTTGTATTAAAATGGGATCTAAACATTAAGGATAATGGTAGCATAACAGTTGCATTACAATCTAGAGAAAAGAAAGATATGTATTATTTGCATTACACTGCAAATAATGTAATGTTATATACCTATAAGAATCATATATATTATGGAATTGGGCAAATTAATCATCAATGGAGACGTTTTACTAGAGATTTAGTTATTGATTTACAAAAGGGATTATATATGAATGATAAAAGTAAAAAGAAACTTTCACGATCTAAATTAAAGGTAACTACATATCATTTCAATAAGCAAATTGATTTAAAAATTTAATAAATAATTCAATTTATATTTTTATTATAGATTGTTAAAATAATGCTTTATGGTTCTGGAATGATTGATAATATTACATTGTCAACGAGCGAGCATATGGAACAATTTTATGATGCTGCCAAATGGTTCGTTGCTAATCAAAATATTACATCTG